CGTCCAGCAAGCTCTTTTCTTGCCCGGTTCCCCCTTTTCTTCCGCCTAATCCTCCTCCGGATTTATCCCTCAGCAATAACAACACCCATTGGCACAAATAGTCCAAGTAATAGATGAGGATCCTCTTCGCGTGAGCATCGAATCGCTCGATCTCCTGCAAAAATGTTCTCAGTTTAAGCTTTGTCGACTCTATATACAGTACATAAAGGTTACAGTCGAACTTCAAAGGACCAACAAACTAATTCGATTGAAGATTTGAAGGAGGTCTTGAGTCAACAGGGGAACAGATATTTTTTGCTGAAAATAAACATGAATAATAAAAAAAAAACTAAAAGGCGTGATTTTTTTCGGCCTCACGAACTGCAGAATAAATGAGTAGCATGCTGAAGTTGGAGGCAAGAGTTTTTGTCCAATTAGCCCACCACTTCTTTCAAAACGTATCAAGTTGCACATATATTGCTTTTCTCGTTTTTGCGTCAATTAAATAATAGCCAAAAGGCTTCCAGGAAATTCGACTTCCAAAAGAATAAATAACAGACTTTGAGCGCGAATCTCTTAAAAGTTATTTTGAGCAAAGCTGATATGCTTATATGCTCAGGGTGGAAAAACTGCTGATTTAAAGTGTGAGCAAATCGTTGACGTTTTTTCGAATCCAAGATTCTCTGAAACAAAAGCCCCTTTCAGATATGCATGCAAACCGGATACATCTTTTTTATTTGCAATTCCCGAACGAAGCGTAAAATCCGGCTCCAACCTGGATATGAAAATCAATATCAGCGTCGGAAGCGTCCAAATATGCCGGTGTAGCAAAGTGGAGGAACCTCTGGCGAATCATAACAGCTCCCGAAATCGTCTCCTTGCACTCGTACAACAATTGCCTCAGGGACAAGGGACTTGGTGGCTTTTGCGGCTGGTGATCCAACTTGGACGACAAGCACTCGTACATGATGTCAAGCGGGATCCTACACAAGAATAAATACACTGGCTTGAAGCTCGGGAGTCCCAGGGACGAGATGGACAGGGGCTGGCCCAGTGCATTCTCCATTCCGTCGCTAGATGGCACTGTATTCATGCCGGATTCCGGTGTGCCGAATCCCATGAGCACCTGAGGCGAACTCGGACTGGTCGACAACCCTGCGAACTGTCAACATAAAACACACATGATCAAAATAAATAGATATATAAAATTAAAATCGCCCATGATACGATTTCAATTAAGGAAATCGAGCAACATCAAACCGAAGCAGCCCAAGCAATCCCCTCCATTAAACCATTCAGCATAGGACATAACAGTATGTAAAAACCATTTGGGTTATTTTTCGCGGGGATTAGTTCGTGGTTCTTTTCGCTTCAACGCCAAACCTCCCCTCTCGATTACCAGACAGGTGTCGCTCAAACAAATAAAGGTAACCCAACGAAGCTGAAAAATTAAAATTTGAATAGGACTGCAACATACTGTATATCCTGCCCTAATCTAAAAAAAAAAAAATGACCAGACGTAATTCAATCTAACCTGACATAGACGAAAAGAAGCTTTTTTAAAGACAGGTGACACCTGCGCAAGGAAATACTGTTTTGTATGAACCTCGTAAGGCGTTGCAGAGAAAAGAACCTTTTCACGTCCGAGTTTCCCAACCATTTTTGTTTTGTTTGAACTCACATCAGAGCTATTTCCAGAATACAGTAAAGGTACCGTGTAGAATATTTCTAATATAGCATTTGTTCTATTTCAGAAAAATTTGATTTAAAATCGTATTCTTTCGTTCTTCCGGAGACGTTGTGAAACAGAGGTTGAGAACCTCCGCATTCACTGCATGATCATTTTTTTCCCGTGAGGCTTTGGTAAAATGAACTTAGTTTTTCCGAAAAAAATTCAGGTTTCTTTTAGGATCAGAAAAGACTTGAATTATGAATTTTGCATCGCAAAAACGAGAACATTCTGGTGCGCATACCATGCAAAAAAATACAAAAGGAAGCATAAGGGTTATTCGGAGGAGGGGGAAAAACCCTGAAATGTCCTTAAAAACAAGCAAAGAAATTAATTGAAAAAAAAAAACAAAAACAAAAGCGAGCCACTATAGCAAAAATATTAGTTTTGTTCTTTCGTCAAAATAAAACAAAAACACGGGAGCCAGACCTGGAGTTGGCAATCCGGAGAGTCCATCATCAGGAGCTTCACAAAATAAAAAGAAAAAATCAATTTTGCTAGCTTTTCTACTAGCTCTTATTTTCTTTGTCTTTTTTTTTTTTTTTTTCAAAGCAATGCTTACGAATTTCTTCTTTTTTAAATCATCCGTCAAAAAGTACAGCTCAAAAACCAAAGTTCGTAGTACGGATTTATAGGAATAAAGGCGATGAACAAGTTTGGGCGAAAAGAAGGAACTTTTTTTTTGGCAAACAGTAGCAAGAAAACTGAAAGAAACGACGGATGATGAATGGCAGCATTATTTAACCAGATATCGAACTTGAAACGCGGGTGAAAAAATAAAGCACGGAATTTGTCTTCACATCACTTATTCCTCTGCTGCTCACCGAATTCTCCCTTGAATAAGCGTGGATATCGACGGCGCTGAAGTTGATATCGTGAGGCAGGGCATCATAAACTTTGCCCAGTGAATCCTGGAAAATCTTGCGCAGCTGGTCCAAAGTTTTCCTCTGGCCCAGGGTCTTCAGTAATTTCTCTACGTACGGTCTATAGGGACTGTGTGACTCGGAATGCAGCATGAGACTAGAGTCACTGAGTTTCCGAGAGCTCATCTGGATAGACTTGTTGGATGTGGAGCTCAACAGGGCCACAGCAGCTTCTTTCAGGCCCTTCGGAGTAGAGCCCAGTGGACAGAAGCCCCCTGGCGGCGGCGGCAAGGGTTCTTCCACAACCTGTCGTACATGTACACACAAATTTAATTAAAATGGGAGATTTCTCAAAAATTCAAAACACAGCACAGTCACTTTCAAGGGATCAGTAAAAAATTCAAGTCAGAAAAACGAGGCATTATTGCCATGAGAGAGAAAGAAGAATTACAGGAATTTTAATTGATGATATTCCGGACCCTAAATTGCTTCTTCAATGAGTTGGCAGGATGATAATTTAGCGTTTCTGAAGTCGCAAGAGTTAAATTGGAGAAATATCTAGAAAACTTGAAGTACCGGTAATAGCTTTTTGAAATTCCGTTTCAGAAAATAGTGTCTTGGACATCAATTTTGAAAAAATCCATCAGCGATGCAGGTGAGGGGTGAGGGGGTGGGGAAACCTTCCAATTAGACCACAATGCATTAAAAACCCCTTCAAGTGAATTCAGACAGGGACTAGAAAAAAAATCAACATAGGGACGCTTAAGTAATCAACGAGGTACAATAACTGTACTGTATACTGAAAGGAAAAAAAATCTTTTATACACACCTCTTGCGATTCGTTGACAGATGTCTCAGCAGTCCCAGAGCCACTGTGCAATTCCCCGAGGGAAAACCGCACTTTCGGCGACGAGCGGACGATGCTCGCGATGCGCACCTCATGCGCGAGCCTAGATGTCGCCCCCAAGTTCAAGTCCGGCCACGGGACTTCCGTTGGACCGAGTCCTACAAACAACGTCCGGCCCAAGAGCCCAATTTTAACCCTGAGGCCGATCGTGATATTGTACCACATGCACACGAGCTTGAGTTTCGATAGGAAAACAGGATGCCGGTAGATGGGGTGAGAGTCTGCGAGACTTCTGCCGGATGGNAACCACGCGGCTCTTCGGTGATGGATGAAAAGCCCGGGCAAAGCGGCGTTGGGTCAAGTGAGCGTCGCGACCAACTGCGCGCCACAAGGACAACTGATGATGAGCACCAGCTAAACGAGCTCACTGTATTATTATTATTTTTATTTTTACTCAATTGACAACGTGTCGTCCTACTAATGAAAAAAAAAATTCGCGAAAAATTGACAAACCTTGCCGTTCTCTCGAGTAAGACGCGCACCTGGTTTTCTGGCACTAAAATTTCGATAAAACTCTATCCCCGAATATAACGCGAACCCCATATCATTTCTTGAAAAAAATGCCGAAGTTTTGAAAACACAATGCATTCAAATGGAAATTGTAACGTTGAATTGACCCAAATATAGGATTATTTTTCCATTGCTTCCATTGGCAATATGCCCTATTGCATATACGCTGATATTTCCCAGGCGCTCATTTGGGCGTCGCTCAGTTGCAAAGGAACTTGGCAATACCAGAAGAAGATCCCTCTCCTCATCTTACCAGTAATCCCATTGAAGATAGCGTCGTTGCCCAAGCTCAAGTTCGTCTCGCAGCCCCTCAAAAGCGCCCTTACATTAAAACGTTCCCAGTAATTATTGTAATTACTGGACTTGGCGATAACACGAACGAACACAGACGAGAGATTGTTTCTGATAAGGCTAGGGTCCAACAAGTTCACATTTGTAAGAAAATAATCAGAATTGATTTCTTGAAGCTGAAAAATTGCTACCTGTATCATCATTAATTGAATCGGAATAATTCAACATAAACCGAAAAAAGGCCTTGCATGCTACATTTCTATGTTGAACATATATGCAAGTTTGAGAAACACAAAAACGGATGAAACTTCGGATGATTCAGGGTGAATTCCAATGATACGACGAATACTAGCGACACCTTCTCTCACTAAAAGAAAATTCACTCATGATGGGACAAATTTAGAAAAGACATGAAGAAAATCTTGCTAGAAGTTTTTTAAAATACATTTCCCCTTGATATAAAGCATTTGAATTAATATGGCACCGATCAACCCTAAAATTTCCGCACAATTAACCTTCTTTCGCTAAAATAGATAAAAAATGAATTGCATTCATTTTTACAGAAAAATAAAGGAACGGCATATTCGAGTGTATCCAATATTGGAATAACTTCGGAGTTGCTTAAGTTTGTTTTGAAAAAATTGCTTCAATTAAGCAGCGAAAATTCCAAAAAGTGCGTCTTCATAATTTTGCATAAATAATAAAATCACGTCAGCGCATCCTTTGCTACTGTAGCATTGATCAATTCCGCAATGCGAAAATGCACAAGCAGTAGACACATTTGCAATGACGCATTTTTGACGAGTATGCGTGATTATTACAATTGCGACTGCCAATAACGACATCTAACTACGCCTAAGCAAGATGGCACTGCAATGAACGAATAATAATAATAATAATTTATCCAACACAAATTACAAATTTCTTACTAAACCAGGCATTTTCTAAGCATTCCATACTAGCTTTCAAAAACATCAGAATTTCGGGACAGATGTCGCCAATACAATGATGAAAATGAGCACAATCTACTTGTGTATACCGTACTCGCTTACAAACAAGAAATTACATGAGATTCAGGCGACACCTATTTAATGAAAAAGGCTATCTCACATTTGGGGACGTCTGGCAGCATCAACAACAACAAAATACTCGGGGTGGCGGGTTCTAAAAATATATCTCTTCGCCAGTCGCTATATAAGAGAGACTCCAGACTTTCTCTAACGAGAGATAAGAGACCGAGATATAAAAAAAAAAGAAGAAGGGGGTGGGGGGGAGGTGGAAGGGAAGAGAGAAACCAAAACCCTGTCACGCAGCCCCCGGAAATCGAACCCACTAGCCAGCTCATCGCTTCCTGGTCGCCAACCCCCCCTCCTGCCCGACGGGTTGCAAATCATAGCCCTGGGACGTCTGACGCTGCTGTCGACGTCCTCGACACACACACACACACACACACAAGTTCTTTGTGCACTGCTCCTTTTGACCCAAAAACGCGGAGATCCGCGAAAGGCAGCCTTTCCCGACAATGAGGCAGAGGAAACACAAGACTTCTCCAGGAAGGCAACCCCCCTGGGGCGGGTTTCAATGCAACGAGGAACGGGGGGGGACACGTATTTGGGTCTTCTTCTTCTCTGCATTTCCCGGGCACTTCCAGAAAGATTTCGTCTGCGACCAAAGTCCTCCTTAATCCATCACTAATCACATTATTATTATTATTTTTTTTTTACTCTCAAGATTCCAGAAATAGAAGCATTTGCAGTAAAATGAAAAAAACATTTATCAAGGGTACTAGCGTAAACGTTTCTACGACCATCGAAGGTTTCGTGTGTATTTGTGCATAATGTTTATTCATAAAAGTGGGGCCTCAAGATGCGGACGCAATTTGTGTTTGGACCCTGTCCGTAAGTCAGAGCGCCCATCTGGTGGGTCACGTTTTCCAATACACTTCAGTGGGAACATATTCAATTGGTTTCCTCTTCATGAAAAATTGGGAAGAAGTCCCCCAAAAAAAATTGAAGAAAAATAGTTCTTCTTAACTTCGAGAAACAAAAAAAAAAAGCTGTTCA